GTTAATAAAAATAAAAAAAAATTCAACCTGAAGATGGTTTAAATAAACCGTAACGTATGAATGAATATAAAAAAAAATTCCAACAAAAAAAAAACAAACGCGGTTTAAACAATACCTACCCAACCTGGCTACCGGATAGCAAACCTATATCGTTGTATTCAGAAGAATCTTCCGGAAACAATTGCATAAAAAAAAAATAATCCGAATAATTTTTACCGCTCACCCGCCCTTATTGCCAGGATTATTAACATATTCCTGATATTTACACATAATTGAATCTAAAAAAGAACTCCAAATGATCCTTTATTTCATAATAACTTGTTATATTATTACAATAATATCGTTGTAATAATTACGAGACATTTTTTATAGGGTCAAACTCAATGCATCAGTGAATTAATTGTACCCACTACAGATATAACCTCAAATTTATGAGAAAAAATTGTTGCTATTGTCACTCCTTCGCCGGGAATCGAACTCGGCACCCTGGTTTTACGCATCAGTACTCTAAGTTAAGCTACGAGGAGGCGAAAACAACAACACATACACTGGCTGGACAATTTTGCAACTTAGGTTCGTATCGTATGCTGTTGTCACCTTATAGCTTACTGGTAGACTACCTACTAATAGGGGGCTTGGGTTCGATTCCCGGCGAGAAAGCAACAACAATTTTTCCTCATTAATTTGAGGTTATCTGTAGTAATAATTACGATTTGAGAAACAAGGACTATTTTGTCTAGACTTCTGTCACATCTCCGACTATTTTAAGTCAATAGTCACTGGTAATTATATTGAGCATAAAACTAATGATATTATATTCTAGTATTTATTGATTTATAATTAGTTATCTTCCTATCATAACCTTATAATCCTAATTTAATTTTGCCGTATTATATATCCATTTTGATGTAAATGGAGCCCTTGTCAGTCATTAGCAAGATTAAAGTTAAATGAATAAATGCACATATTTTCAAAAGAAAGAGTATTTACAAGGATCGGGAATAGAACACGTGCCACCGATGAGACACAGGCTGCCAATACGTGCCGTTCACGACGGAACCAATCAACAAATGCTTTTTGGGAAGGATCAGAATATAATCAATGAGAAAGCGTCTACACGTGGTATGGCCATTCTTTTAAAAAATTTAAAAACACGATTGGACCGTGCAGAAGGCATTCCCTATTGAGAAAGCCACGTGCAATATTAACTTTCAATACGATCTTCCAATTCTCANCTTGTGTTAAAACATACAATAAACATGAAATGCTTTTGTTTTACTCAACTTTATGTTGACTTTTATTAAAAGCTATTCTAATGTCATTCACTCAAATGTTAAGTTTACTAGTAACACCAGGGATGTTATGGAGCTCTGTAACCGTAACCAATTTCGAATAGGGGTGGAATCCAAATGAGACATGCTGGTAAACGAAATTTAAGTTATGGTAAGTTTTTAATTTTTTGAACATTTCTATAAACAAACTAAAGTAGGTGGATCGATTTGCGCGTTTCGATGATTCAGGAAGCCGGATTATAGATTCAACCATAATGGGGTTATGTATGGGAGTTCAGATTAATGTTAAGACAAGTCCTGGAAAGGTGGGCAGAGATCACCAAGATCGGCGTAGCATTCTGACGCACGACACTGCAATGTGGATAACGCACTCTGGACGTAAAATGGCCCCCTCTTCGGATTTCTGGGCGGGAACTATATTGGGAGATGTTATTAAAAAGTGCAATACGGGAAGATGCAATATTTCACGAATCGGAGCGTGGAATGTTGGAACTATTTAGCAAACATGGAAGTTGGAATTTTAAAACTAAGATAACCAGTAGGCATTAATGAAGATCGATGACCAGAAACTGAAGACTTCTGGAGTGAAGACTTTAGCATAATACATACAGGATCCGTAGGAGGTAATCCGGGGATAGGAATTGTAATGAGTAAGAAAGTAGGATAGAGTATAGAAATTTACTTAAATAAATGATACATTAAACATGAAACCGGTACAAATGGTAATAGTGTCNGAACGCGGAGGCCGATTGTGCCTCTTTGTCGCTCGTTCCGCGCTCTCGCTTGCACTTCAAGCCTTAAATGGAACGCCTCAGAGCGAGGTAACGCCGCATGAATCATCTTTTTTCGTGCGTGCAGCCGGCTCCATCGAATTATAAGACGTTGTCACGTCAAAAACCAATAGGTAATTTCTTTAAAATAAACTTTAGTTTTTACCTCCATTCGTGTTGCTGATGTTCGAAATACGTGTCAAAAATCATCGACGACCACATAAAATTAATTTTCAGAACAACATTTTTTTTTAAACCGTACCTTATGCTCTTTGATATCCCTTGACTATGTGTGTGCAAAATGTTATGATGATTGATGGAGTAGTTAAGGCGTTAAATGGGAATAAACAAACAAACTCAGAATCTAGTTACATCCGGCGATCATTGGCCCTACTTATGGATCACGCCCCGACCATGAAACTATTCATTAGTATATAAGCTCATACATTTTCTAGCTCATGAAAGTCTCACTAACATCCAACCCTCTTAGGATTATCTTCCTATACTCCCCCCTCGGATAGAAATCTTTTTGAACTTCACCTCCTCCTCCCCCCAGCTATCGTCAGGCGATTTCAATGCTAAACACGTCTCTTCGGGCTGTCAACAAACCAATAAAAAAGGCACCTTCCTTCTTGCCAATGTTCTCGACTTCAACCTCACAGTTGAAGCCCTCCCTGACCCAACGTTCCTCCCAACCCCAACAATCAATCTTCTAACATCCTCAACATTTTCTTCACAAAAAATTTTAGTCTTTCCGCCGATCCTATCGTGCTTGACGTACTTAGCTAGGATCATCTTTCAGCCCTAATCGAAGTCGGACGCCCAATCAACAACCTCCAAACCACTTCACTAGACTGACTACACCTCCGCTACACCCTTGAAACATCTTCATTCAAGTGCACTTTAATTCGTACAAAAGCGGAACTCCACGAAGCTGTGAATCTTCTTTCAAATGAGACTACCCCCCACAATCAATCTTCTAACATCCTCAACATTTTCTTCACAAAAAAAGTTACTCTTTCCGCCGATCCTATCGTGCTTGACGTACTTAGCTCGGATCATATTTCAGCCCTAATCGATGTCGGACGACCAATTAACAACCTCCAAACCACTTCACTAGACTGACTACACCTCCGTTACACCCTTGAAACATCTTCATTTAAGTGCACTTTAATTCGTACAAAAGCGAAACTCCACGAAGCTGTGAATCTTATTTCAAATGAAACTACCCCCCACAATCAATCTTCTAACATCCTCAACATTTTCTTCACAAAAAATGTTACTCTTTCCGCCGATCCTATCGTGCTTGACGTACTTAGCTCGGATCATCTTTCAGCCCTAATCGAAGCCGGACGACCAATTAACAACCTCCAAACCACTTTACTAGACTGACTGCACCTCCGCTACACCCTTGAAACATCTTCATGTAAGTGCACTTTAATTCGTACAAAAGCGGAACTCCACGAAACTGTGAATCTTCTTTCAAATGAGACAACTAGCGCAATCGAGCTCTCTACTACCTCCCACTCCACGTCTGCCCCAGATAAAACCTTTTCCGCAGACATTCTTGCCCTCCTTAAGAGGAAAAACAGAAACCGCCGCCTGTGGCAAGGCACCGCAATCCCGCACATCGTGCCGAATTTAACTTGCCTCACAAAATTCTACAGCGCCCCTTTCGACTAATATATCGCCCAGGCAGAAGCACACCCCAAAACCACTTGGAAAGTGATCCGCTTTACCCAACACAGAGCTCCCCACTTCCCATCATTAAAGAGAAATGACTCCCCATACACTTGAGATGAGGAAAAAGCTGCAATCTTCGCAGACTCTCTCTGTCTCCAGTGCCCACTACCTAGCCTTGTGGATCTTGCCGAATTTCACAAGCGAATCAAAGCCACCTCTCGAAACTTCGTCCCCTCGTGAAATCATCTTCACCATCCAATCTCTGAAAAAGAGAAAGAAAAGCCCCTGGCGCGGACATAATTTCAAACGGTGGGTGTCTTAAAGGCCTTGTCACCAATACACATAAATGCACTATGCAATATCACAAACGCTATCATGCAGCTCCACCATTTCCCTTTGGTCTTGAAGGAAGCCTCAGTCATCTGTCTCCCCAAAAAAGGGAAGACCCTCAGAAATCCCTGAAGCTGCAGGTCCATGAGCCTGCTCAGTTCGCTGAGCAAAGTAGTGGAATCCATACTTCTAGACCGGCTTCTTGACCACGTGGAGCAAAACAATCTCCTTCCCGATTTCCACCACGGCTCCGGCTGGACATCCAACAGGCCTTAGGAGTCTCGCACGAAGGTCTCATTTCCAAGTTTATCGCCCTAAAAACCGCACACTCCCTTATCGGAGTTATTAGATCCTTTCTATCTGACAGATCTCTTCGTGTCCACGTTGGCCCTGCCTTATCCCCCAGCAAACCCATCATGGCCGGCGTCCCCCAAGTCTCCAAGCTGTCTGTTTAATTCAAACAATACTACGGAGCCCCGCAAATATTGACAAATTTCTGCCCCCTGCTCCTCAACCAAGAATTTATACAGATTTTACTAAATTGCTTTATGTCCCGTTTATTCAGTTGGGCAAGTAGATACTCTAGTGAGAAATTTGGAATAAGTTAAATTGGGATCTTGGACCAAAACAGACTTTATATATTTCGTCAAAATTCTTATTGCTGTTGTCGAAATCAATATTATACACAAATACAACAATTGAACAGAGCGTTATGAAAATTGATACTAAAAAATTTGGTAATACTTACTAGCTACACGTACACACAAAAAAAAATAAAAATATTAAATTACTTACATCATAAGCCCCAGCTTTGATCTGTGCATATAACCTATGTTGATCTTCGTCCCAGAATGGCGGATAACCCACAAGGAGAATATACAAGATGACGCCGCAAGCCCAAATGTCCACAGGTTTGCCGTAAGGCTCCTTTTTCAGAACTTCTGGGGATAAATATCCTGGAGTACCAGCAAAACCGAACCAAGCTTGTTGGTCACCCTGGACCTCTATGGCTAGACCGAAATCGGCTAACTTGACCGCCGCTCCTTTTGCTTTACTAGCCAAAAGAAGATTCTCTGGCTGAAACAAAATTGTAACGTACAAAAGGTGCTCAATGATTACACTAATCTATCATAATTCTTAAATATTCACTTTTTTCGATAAGGAATAGGTACGAACAATAAAGATATTACTATTAGTAAGATGAATATTTTAATTGGAATTTTTTTCATTAACATGTATAAAATACTAGCTTCTAAAGAAACATATTTTTAGATAACTTTTTGAATCATAGAAAATAGCGATTTTCATGTATATTCAGACTTTCAAAAATTTATAAATCGGAAAATATTACCTTTCCAAAAAAAATCAGACCTCATCGGGATTAAACCAAAGAATATAAAAAAATTGTTCTGGCCAAAAAGAAAAAAACAAACGTCATTTAAACAATATCTACCCGACCGGACTACTGGATGTCAACCTATATCGTTGTATTCAGAAAAATCTTCCGAACAAAATTGCGTCCGAATAATTTTTTCCCACTCACCAGCCCATATTGTCTGAATTATTAACACAATCCTGATTTTAACACATAATTGTATCTCAAAAAAGAACTTCAAATGATCTTTTCTTTCATGTCTAAAATATATGGTTTTACTTTCGCCACCATAACAACGTGTGATATTTTTGTAATAATATTGTTGTAATAATTACGAGACATTGTTTTGTAGTGCCAAGCTCAATGCATCAGTGAATGAATTATACCCGCTACAGACATAACCTCAAATTAATGAGAAAAAACTGTTGCTGCTGACACTCCTTCGCCGGGAATCGAATCCGCGCTATGGTCGGTGTTGCTGTCACTTCCTTGCAGAGTACCTACTGAGTAAAACCGGGGGCCTGGGTTCGATTCCCGGCGAGGGAGTGGCAGTAACAATAATTTCTCCTCATTAAGTTGAGGTTATCTGTAGTAATAATTACAGTTTTTGAGGCAGAATTTCTGCAAGAAACAAAGACTATTTTATCTAGGCTTCTGTCATATCTCCGACGATTATTTTAAGTCACGTAGTCACTGATAATTACATTGAGCATAAAACTAATGATATTATATTCTAGTATTTATTGATTTATAATTAGTTATATTCCTATCATAACCTTATAATCCTAATTTAATTTTGGCATATTATATATCCATTTTGATGTAAATAGAGCCCTTGTCACTCATTAGCAAGATTAAAGTTAAATGAATAAATGCACACATTTTCAGAAGAAAGAGTATTTNTTATATATCCATTTTGATGTAAATGGAGCCCTTGTCAGTCATTAGCAAGATTAAAGTTAAATGAATAAATGCACATATTTTCAAAAGAAAGAGTATTTACAAGGATCGGGAATAGAACACGTGCCACCGATGAGACACAGGCTGCCAATACGTGCCGTTCACGACGGAACCAATCAACAAATGCTTTTTGGGAAGGATCAGAATATAATCAATGAGAAAGCGTCTACACGTGGTATGGCCATTCTTTTAAAAAATTTAAAAACACGATTGGACCGTGCAGAAGGCATTCCCTATTGAGAAAGCCACATGCAATATTAACTTTCAATACGATCTTCCAATTCTCAAAGTAAACATCCTCACGACATCGTACTACCCTTACGTCCACTTGTTTAAAATGAAAAGCACATATTTGTTGAACCGAAAAACTTTCTCTTGTCCTCGAATGTTTACGTTGCTCGAAAAACTTTCTTTTCGTGTTATTTGACAATAAACAACTCAGTTTACAGCACACGTACTTATATAAAGTTTCAAAAAACGTTCTTGTATGTCAAAAACTAAATTTAATTAGCCTCATGATGTGGATTTTGGTGTTAGAGTTCTGAAAAGTACGTCTGCGAGGGATTATAAACGAAATAACAAACAACTATCGTATGTCACTATTAAAGATTTGAGAAAAAAAAAATAAAATTCTATAAAATAAGTACAACGTAATCTATTTAATTGACAACTTTATCAACACTTCACCTTACACCTTCTCGGGCATAAACGACTAGTCAGAGACATATTAAAAGCAGCGACAGAGGTAAAGAGGAATAGAGGTAGATCTAGATTAGAACGAGGTGCGTGTCCAACCAGTCTTAGAACTGACGACCTTATAATGATGATGATACAATATCGACAAATACCCGTTGTCTTCAATGATACACAGGTTTTATCTAACATGTCCCAACAAGCTTCGAATGGTGTTTATGTCAATCTCCCTTGTCTTTGGATATATTCTACGCCTTAGCCGTTTAGTTGTAGTTTTGCACCCATTACTACATACTTCCTGCTCAACAGTACCCAAGAATTCTCAATTGGTCCAACCTGTGGTACATTTGGCAGATTGTCGGTTTTAAACACAAAAGGTATGTTGTTAGTTCTTCCCAAACTCTAGTAGTTCTTGCATAATAGTAAGATGCTAAGCCGAGTGAAAAAACCATTTTATCATGTGGATGAGCCACATTAATAATCTGGAGTATCTTTTGGTAGATATTTTTCAGTGTAAATGTTGGTATAAACCGCCTCGCCCCTCACATGTCATACATAAGGTCTTAAGATTCCACCTTCTGATAAGTCACCCCAAACTAAAGTTTTGCTTTTTTCTGCTATGTATTTAATTATCTGAACAATTTTCTACATTATCGATGTAGAAACCATCGTTATTTTAATATTTTTCATCATTAGTTATGATGTTTGAAAAGTGATTTCGGTTCCGTGACTGATCTTCTATGTACTGTGGACATTCGCGTGATTTGCAAAAATACAAGACTAAGCCCAAGATCAATACTAAAACTGTCTTAATACAAGAAAGACCAAGATTAAAACCAAGACCGAACGAACAAGTTCGAAACTGCGCATTTATGAGTTAAACTATTTGAAGCAACTTTAATATACCTATTCTTCTTTTGGAACAAATCACTTCTTGTATTTGAAATTTTCAGATTGATTTTCTAGACTTTAACACGAAATATAAAAAAATTAATAATCTTTACCATTGTTTGAAAAAAGGGATCTACATGACCTGATAACACATGGTTGAAATATAGAGACGAACTAATTTTTTGTTTGATATCGCTAAAAGGTCAATTTATACGTTGGAGGAAGGGACAAAATTTATGCACTGGAGGAAAGATAAGTCCTCGAGTTTTCATAATTTTCCCAACTACCGACATTATTTTCTTTAAAGACAATAAGCTCGCATGTATGACAGAAAATTGCAGCATTTATTTTAACGGTAAATAGAAAAATTTGTACTCAGAATAATTATTCAAAAAAAAACGTAAGTAACAAATTAAATGAGCAAGATCAAGTATTGACACGCAAGTTTAAGACCAAGAAACTATGTCAGGAAGACCAAGACCAAAGCTAGAAATATTTGAGCAAGATCAAGACCAAGACCGAGTAAGCAAGACTAATATCAGCACGAAAACTGGGAGAGTCAGGACAGATCAAGCCGTTAGGCAGCGCACTAGTGACACCTGAACTACGAGGGTGCGTTTTTAAGTTCGCGAAATGGGTAGGTAGGTCATTAGTGAGGGTACTTACTCGAGTCATTACGAATTAAGCAATTCATTATTAGTATAAATACCAAGTTATATAGTACTTAGGTCAATTGTCTTTGAACTTTGAATTCGTCGACGAAACAAGTCAATCGGGAACAAATTTTGAAATATGGGGAAAATCGAGTACCGCGCTTTCATAATACCTTACCAAGCAAGGAAAATCAGTTCAAACCATACTGGAAGAGATGTCATCCTTTTACGGGGACTCTTGCCTAGACAAAACCATGATTTGCAAGTGGCATACCCTCTTTAAACAAGGCAGGGGCTTCCTTGAAGACGACCCACGGCCAGGCATTCATTAAGTCGAATAATTAATACTGGCAGATGCCCAACATAGAAGAAACAGCTCACAGAAATGGTAGGAGTATCAGGCACAACTATTTTTAAAATTCTTCACGATCATCTTGGCTTAATTAAAGTCAGCGCAAGAGGGGTGCCGAGAATGCTCACTCCGCCTCAAAAACAACAGCGTGTGGAGGATTCTCGCACGTTTTTGGACCTCTGTAGTGAAGATAAATATGGAGTATTGACTCGAATTGTTACTGGGGACGAAACTTGACTTCCAGATAGGACTCTATGCAATAACACAAAACGGCACATCATCACCAAAGAAGTTCAAACTGTCACTGCCGGCTGGGAAAATTATGCCGATAGTCTTTTGGGACTAACAAGGAATCCTGCTGATCGATTATAAAGGTAGAGGTGTCTCCATAACACGAAAATAGCATGCTTCATTCCTAGAGTGGTTAAAGTAAGCAGTCAAAGAAAAAAGAAGAGGAAAATTGACCAAAGCTGTCCTCCTTCTGCATCTTCGAAATTTCGGCTCATACACCCTTCAGTACTGACCTACCTCCCAGTAATTATTACCTATACCCAAACTTGAAAAAGGTTTTCGTGGAAAGAAATTTTCAAACGACAAAGAAGTGAAGGATGCAGTTTCGGCGTNACTCGGCACGTTTTTAGTTTTCAATAATATGGTCATTAAAAGCTTTCAAAAGTGCTTAAAGTTGACGCATCTTGGAGGACACGTATTTTCTATAGAAATTAAAAAATTAAAAAATGGTCTTCGACAGGCTTTAGAACAAAGCTTTATCTATCTTACTCGGCACGTTTTTAGTTTTCAATAATATGGTCATTAAAAGCTTTCAAAAGTGCTTAAAGTTGACGCATCTTGTAGGAAACGTATTTTCTATAGAAATTAAAAAATTTAAAAATGGCCTTCTACAGACTTTAGAACAAAGCTTCATCTATCTTACTACAAAATTTCAAACCTCTGTTCCATATATTAAACTCATGATATCTAGAACTGATAATCTGAACCCCCTTAATGTCGGCATCTATTGAGGACGTACAGTTGGTACGTGCCGAAGCGGCTTTTATAAAAAATCTAACCGAGTAGAAAAGGATTCGGTGTTATTTTTCAACGTATCAGCATCTTTTGAGTACATGGACATAGGACTAACTGTCTAGCCTCT